AGTGATAAGTCAAGAAACAGGTTGCAGGTGTTCATCGTCAAATACATGTTTCAGGCCACTGTGTATATGGTTTGGTGTGAAAGGAATAGACGAAGGCATGGAGAAGCTGCGACTCCGGCTCCCCTGTTAGCTAAACGTTTGGATAAAAATATGAGAAACAGGCTTGTGTTGATACAGAGAAGTGGGGATGGCAAATTCGAAAAAGGGCTGCAGTATTGGTTTGAGACAAGAGTGTCGGCATTGGATACCCCAGTAGGAGTGAGAGCTGGGGGGGTCAGTAGGAGTGAGAGCTAGGTAAAAAGCCCAGTAGGAGTGAGAGCTGGGTACCTAGTAGGAGTGAGAGCTAGGTTGGGTGATTTGGAGTTGATTTTGGAGTTTAGAAAGGCTTGGAGAAGGATTGGAAGAGATGCTACTTTTATTTGAGTTTAAGATTGTTTTAGGAAATTTTATAAACAGACACACATGGTTGTAAAAGGGTTTTTTCTTTTGAATTAAATTTAACATTCAATTCAAAAAAAAAAAAATATATTAATTATATGATTTTATATTATTATTATTTTAACATATATTTTTTTATGAATTTACTTATATAATTATTTATAAAAGTATAAAATTAAGAAAAGAATATAAAATATTTATAAAAACAACAAACTTTCTAAACTTGAGTGTTTATAAAAAAATAGTTAATTACTTCTAAATTTCTTGGAATATATAGTTTCACTAATTTTTATTTTTACTTTTTATTATGTAAAGATATTTTTAAGGGTTTTTTGCAAAATTGACTCAAAACTCAAAGTCAAACACAAAACTAACTTTTTCTTTTGACTCATCTTGTTTGTGTCCTATTCACCCCACATCTTCATTACACTACGAAAATGCCACTATTTTTTTTTGTAATTTTTTTTTTCTGAAAATGGTCTTTTTACTCTCTCAACCTCACCATCTTCAAGTATTTACAACATTACCATTGCCATGAATACTCCCAACAACCTTGTATAACCCAACAACCTTGTACAACCAAGGTTTGAAGCTTTTAATGCACTTAATATCGATACCCATACTCTCTTTCTCAATTGTTATGAACTAAAAACATCTCATTCACTTTGTCTCCATATTCATACCAAAAACCCAAGCTTTTGATAGCAAAATTTTTATGGTTGATAGAGCCATTTAAGCATACAATTCTTTGTGGTTTACTTTCGTTTGATGTTCTGGGTGGTTGGAGAAGACTATGTGTGCAAAGAAAGTCATCTTACCTAGTTTAAGGTATGAAATTGATTTTTTTTTCCAGATTTGTTCGCGTAGAAGACTTATCCGTAAGTCATCTGGATGTAAAAGACTTACGGATAAGTCTTATGTGGTCAAACGGACGACTTACTTCTAAGTCGTCCAGCTTTGTTTGTTAAAAAAAGAAACACTAGACGATTTATAATTAAGTCGTCTAGATAAACCGGGCTACTTTTACATTTGACCAAATTGTGTCAGATATTTGACTACAAGATAACCGTTACAAATTGTTTACAAGTATATGTATATTATATGATTTTGAACTATGTACTACATTAATGTAAAAAGTTAGATAGAATGAGTGAAGTAAACTAAAAGTAAATATCCATATGTTCGGTTATCTTCGGATATTCATTCGGGTTTGGATATTATTCACTCGGATTCGGATATCTAATCTGTTCTAATTCAATATTCATTCGGATATTTTACTATTTTGATTTAAGATTTTGGTTTGGGTTTTTCGGATCGAGTTGGATAAAATGTACAGGAATATGGATCATAACCAGTAGGCCCAATGAATGGAAAATACTGTTCAAACTGAGCCCAAAAGATCCTAACTACATACTAGACTTTTCAGTAAACAGAAGAAACTTCGTTGCCCAGACTCCTCCTACCACGAATTGGGTACTGAATAAGCAAACAATATAATGAAACAACATAATGAAACAATTCATAGATAATATATGTATCTCCTACACTTTGGTTTTGATTCTACAACCACACCATTTATATCACAACTATCTAGACAAGAAGAAGACATATTCTGATGTCTCCTCTTATCTTTTCACCAAAGGCCAGCGGCTGATCCATTAACATCATCGAGCCGTTTCATCATCCAATCTATGATATCACGACCAACATCCTCGCGCTCAGGTTCAAAGAGAAGGTCGTGTAAGAAACCTTCATAGAGTTTGATGTCTTTAAACACTGATGGTGCCTGGTTATACAAGTCTTGTGACGCTAGTGGATCAGTGACTTTGTCATCTGTGCCATGGAGGACAAAGAAAGGCACTGTAATAGATTTGAAGTTCCGGGTCAAGTAAGCTGTAATGCGGAGAATCTCATGGCCTGTTCGGACTCTTATTGGACCTGTGTAGACTAATGGGTCAGAGTACTTGGCTAAGAGAGCTTCAGGGTCTCTTGAGACTGGAATGCCTCTCTTGTTTGCTCCTTTGAACTGGAACCTTGGAGCCACCAACGAGAAGATTGGAGCTATCGCCTGCAAAGACACACATCACTCTCTAAATTTTCCAACAGAGAATGAAGTAAGCATCTAAGTTTGACTTACCCCGACAATAGGATGAGCGGGTTTGACACGAAGTGCAGGCGATGTTAGGACAATACCAGCTAACATATCTTCAATATTAGGAGATGAAGCCGCCTATAAGACAAGATAGACCACTGTAAGAACAGTAAAAATTTTGAAGAGAGAGTTTCAAAGGTACGAAGTTTAGGTACCTTCAAGACCACAGCTCCACCGGTAGAGTGACCAAAGAGGAAACACGGGACTCCCGGATTCTCAGACCTAATCTTCTCCAAGAAAGCTACCTAATATAATCTAAATCATTACTAAAACAGCAACTTCAAACAGAACATTTCTCTAGTTTCATCTAAAAAAAACAAAGTAATGTTTGTGAACTTACGGTGTCGGAAACAACGTAATCAAGAGAAGGAACATAGCCATGTAAACCATCACTCCCACCGTGACCTAATTACAACGTTATGAGACCAAAACCTGTTCAGACTCACATTTTCAGAACAAAAACAGAAACTAAAAAAAAATACAAGACAAACTTTTGTTCATTCATACCAATCCAATCCATAGCGTATACACCAAAGTTACTCGAGTTTAACTGCTTAGCAAATTGAGAATATCTCCCACTAAAAACAAAACGAGAGATTAATCCAATTACATACAGACAAAGAACAAGACATATGTCTGAAATAAATAAATTAAATTCTCATTTTTCACACCTGTGTTCATTCAATCCATGAATAATAATCAAAATCCCCCTGAAACACACACAAAAAATTCAAATGAGCTTTTGACCTAAAACGTGTAAGCAAAGCATGCAAGGCATTAAAGGCTTTTACCTAAGCTCGCCGGAGAGAGGCAACCACGACCTTGAGAACAAAGCGTTACCACGTCGTCCATAAAACAACGAACTACTCCAACGACAATCAATCTCACAAATCTCAACGCCTTCCGCTAACGAACGACGCCTAGCAGTGTCTTCCTCCTCCATCTTCCACGCCATCTTCCGTCTCCATCGCCTCGAAGGAGCCGGATTCACCTCCTCCTCAGGAAGAGGCAAAACGCGGCGACGAGGACGGGGACGGAGAAGGAGGAGGAGAGAGAGGAAGAAGGAGAGGACGAAGATGAAGCACTTACGAAGCGTTTTCAGTATCGGGATTATCCGATTGCTCGCGCCTGAAGTCAATTGCTCGATCTCCGTTGACGTTGACGCCATCTTCGATTAAATTAAAAAAAAAAAAAATTAACACAATTCGATGAGAGGATGGATGGAGGAAGGAAGGAGAAAGCGTGTACAGAGTTTTTATGTCAGAAAATTTTAAGACAAAATGGTGGGGACTTAATTTATAGGGGTGTGAATATTTCAATGTGTTAAAAGAAGACAAAAGTTTTTTATTAATCCGGTGCGGCGCGGGATCGTGTGAGGAAGCTACGTGGTTGTGTTGTATTGGTTGTTGAGCTAACGAGAATATGGGTGTGATGGGTAAGTCAAAGGTTTGGACGGTGGAGATACGGTGTTTCTGGGAGGGTTCGGTAGTAACGGTTGATGAGTTGGATGGAAGGAAGATTGGTCCGTTTTGCTACATTTATGATTTAATTGATTACCCGCGTTTTATGGTAAGCTGTTTATTATATTTTCTGAGAATCTGAAGGTTATATTTAAAATTAAAATTGATATGATACACATTATCTTGTTAAATAGAATTTGTATGTCTGGTATGGTAAGTTAGTTAACTAATTAATTAGTTGATTATATACATATTCTTATGTTATGTATAGTGTGTACGTAAATAAAACAGTTGAGCTAGAAAGTCACAAACGAGCCAAATGTAAATCAATCAATAATTAATGGCTTAATTGAGATTTTGGAAGGATTGGATTTTGTGGACATGTTGCAGAGTCTGCGCCACTAGGCAGCAAATCTTTACCAAGTGTTTCATTGTCTTGTTCAGCAATTCACAGTCGCACGTCTTTTAAAGATAAACTATGCTTTTTCACAAGTATTAGCTGTTGCTTTCGTTGTCAATGAATTTTGGAATGCTTTAGCAAAATAAAGATATGATACACACGATTATTGAAAAATAAGACCCCGCACGAGTCATCATAAATTCATATAAACTATATTTGTAATGTTTAGAAAAGTACATATTTATTTATTTCAAATATAGCTATCATCTATTTTTGTTTCTTCCAGAATATGGTTCATTATATTTGCTACAAATTTAGTTTTCCATATACGATAATACGAACGAACAATAACATTTAAAAGAATATTATACAGTTGGGAATCGATATATGAAGTGTATATTTACACTTCTCTTCTAAAAATGTTAAATGTATGATTTTCTGTCGCCTTTATTGTGCATTTTTTTCAATATTTCTTATTTGGTTAATTTTAGACCACACATAGGAAGCATAATTGGTTGTACTTAGCACATGAAAACAACATAAAAGAGACGGATGACTCCCGCAACAAGCCTTGAGTGACACTAAAAGTCATGAAAACGAAAGGGGCACTAAAAAGTCAAGAATTTACTGAGATTTCATTACCATCAACATCAAGAATTCTTCTTTGAAATTCGAGCCTCATAAAACTTTTAACATGATCTTCTTATCTTTCTATAACACAAAAGTAGTATATGTGGTTTCCTTCAGGCGAGCCTCACTAAAAATGCCTACTATTTAAAGATAGAACAAATGAAAGTGAGAGACGGAAATGTTTGCCTCTTATAAGCTGTGTTGATTCTGCTCTTGCACGAGAAGCCGTCTATCTATATATTGGCGAATATAACATTTCCCTGGTTATGATCCGTTGATGTAGTCAAGCAGAAGCCGGTCTAGCTCAAAATGTTGACACAGAAGTTTCTACAACATCAAAAACATAAGAGGCGCAATTTTAAGGATTTATCCAAAATAAAAGGCTTCAGACAAATAGTGCAACCAATTCAACAAACCTTGGTTATGGGTAAAGACGGTGCAGCGTCAACATAAAAGTCTGGGAACCGAGAAACTTCTACACCCTTTTCAAACAATATATATGTTGGAAGCTGAGACATTCCACCTATATATATTACAACACATCAGTGGCTTGCACGAACATAGACTAAATGTGCTTTTGGGATTGTGCAAATGAATGAGTTGGTGAAGGACTATTACCGGCGAGAGATATTCCAAACTTTGCTGCAGTATTAGGGAAAAGTCCAAGATCGATGGTTCCAAAGGACAAAAGATTATTCGAGTATCTAAAGAACAGAAGAAGTGTGAGTGTCTCTTAAGACGAACACTGAAATGGGATATGTTTTCTTACACAAAGCTTACGTGATGGAGAGCTCGGGAAAGCAGCGGCTTGAACGAACACACTTGGATGAACAACACGCATAGAATTCTATCTGCAAAAAAAAGTTGTGAAATAGCACATCAACACACCCTTCTGAGCCAAATTTTTCATATATTTTTTTACCAACTAAGATGTTGCATATCAATTTTGTTTATTTAATTGCTGTCATAATAGCAAGGGGAAACTATATGTACTATCTAGCGTCATATACACCATGCTATATTAGAACCTATCTGTAAGCTCTGCAAGAACACCATTCTATGGTTACGCAAACTCATCATTTAAAAAAATCACAACTTCACTAATTAGGAAACAGCCACAGCCTTGTCTACCAGAAGATAAAGCCAGTAAGCCACGTACCAACCAGTATTTAGTTGTGGTCCCATCTGATAACAAATCCTCCAATTGCATAGGTGTTAGCTTCTTCGCAGTTCCTGCAAAACGCTCAAACCTCATAAAAGAATGCAACTTCTGATTCCAAGAGAGTAATAACTTGACTCTTCAACATACCTAATCTGCTAAATGCTGGTTGTTGAGCTAAAAGATATACGACTGCACAACCAAACATTCAACTCTTCATCACATATATCAGATTCTCAGTGATTGAGCTCAAAAGATTGTTTTCTCCATCCATACCAGAAAATATGACACAGAACCAGATCGCCACTCGATAATCCATAACCAACGAAACAGCAATGAGAAAGATCTGGATCAAATACAATAATGTGTATCATCAACATGGACAGAGATTCAATAATCAATTCCGATCGCAATCTGAAATCAGTAAGAGGTATACCTTAGCATAGAGTAAGCTATCCGCGACGAAGGCCTCCCATGTTTCCTCTCTAACCATCTAAAACGAATTTTTAACAATCGATGAAGCAGGAAGCGAAGTAAGTTAGATCATATATGCAAATTCAATTGATATGAAGTGGTAAAGACGAACCTTGATAGCGGAGAACATGAGGAACGCTAGAGATGCTTGGATTTCTCTGTCGAAGAGTCGATGAGATGCGGAGCTGCGAATCGGAAGGTACGAGAAGAAGGCCATGAGATGGAGGAAGTAGTAAGGTTCTGATATGATCCAACTCGTTCTTTCGATCACTCCTTCACGCTTCTCCTCCTCCATTTTTTTTCGCTCGGTTCGGTGAATCTCCGCTGCAAATTTAGCTCGGAGTCTGAACTCTGAAGGTAAGAGGTTTGTTAGAAAATACAGCTGACGTCACGTTGTTTCGTATAATGAGAAACGGCAAGGCATTTATCTACTGCTCACTGAAATTTTGGGCATTTTCATGTGATGGCTGGCGTTCATCTACTGACGTTACCGTATATTCCGAATTTGGGGTATTTCAGGAACACCAATGGACACAAACAAGAGACTCTTATTATTCAAACGTGATGCGTTAAGTGTACAAATTCCATAAAGAAATTGTTAATTGAATGAAAAGGAAGGGAGACTGTTTATCACTCCCGCAAAAAAATGAAATTGATCTGAGTGGCTGAGTTAGACCAGCAAAGAAAAAAACTGAGGAGAATTTGATCTCAGATGAAGCCATTTGTTTTTGAGTTCTGGTTTCTTTATCGAGGAACGCTTAGGCCAAGCTCTGCATGAGAAACACCATAATGGATTAGCACATGGCCATCAGAAACATTCTTGTTTCAATCAAATGCTACAAGAAGTTCAAAAGAAGAAAACATTGAAGATAGAACAGAAGAGCACCAACATTACATCTTTCATTTCTGATCCAACAGATGATTCTTATGCCAAAACCTTTCTATGAAATGGTGGAACCTATAGGTGTTTATGTTACCAAAGAATCTATGTCTCTGCAACACTAGTAAATTCCAAACAAAAGAACTTGTCTACTATACGAAATTCTGGAAATCGCAAGATCAAACCAATGTGGTTGTGAAGCACGAAAAGTTTGATGCAAGAAGCAATATCTGTGAAAATGCTCTGAGTTAAATGTCAATAAACAGTTTCGCAAAGATAAGTGTCAAAGTTGCACAGAGCTATCCAACTAAACCAATCTCCAAAGTCATTCAGTTATAGACTACTACAGATTCTGTTGGATTATTGGTAAACTCAAAGCTCTAGTAGTCTAATATACTACTGAGAGAGTAGATAAGATGTAAATTCGAAGATAAGCAAGATCAGAGAGTAAAAAAAAATAAAAAGTTGCTTACTACTAAACAAAAGAGTATGGAGAATATCAAACTCCTGGATTCGCACAGCAGAGCATACCCTGAGACAACGACCTTGAATTCATCGAATCAATCCCGAGGCACGAAGTCAACCTAGCAGAAGCCACCGCACTGTACAATGGAAGCAGCGATTGAAGCGAACCTAGCTGAGCAATCGGCCTATCAAAACCCAAAAAAATACAAAATTGAAGAAAACCCATGAATCAGAACTACACGAATCACTAAAATTTCTGAAAAAATGAATCAATCAGAATAATTAAGCAAAAAATAGTTAACCTTGCAAGTCCAGGCGACGGAGAGACGCCGATAAATGATGAATCCGATTTGGGTCGGGGAGAGGGCTTGTTCATTGCAGATCTAAAGGCTGAGAACGCTGGTTTGGAGAACGATCTACACCGTGAAGCCATTTTTGCCGATAACGAGCAAGGAGTTTTGATTTTGATTTCTAGGTTAAGAAAGAGGGGTTTTCATGAGGTTTAGCCTTAAACGACGCCGTTTTCTGTTAAAATCTAAGGAAAAGAACGGCATGCTGTGTAACTTTAAAACCAGAAAACTACGCGGCGTGTAATTTAGCTTTCTTAGATTAATTAACTTGGTATAGGCTAACGTTAAACCGAACTAGATAAAAACTTTGCCTTCCGTCTAACGCCGTCTTTTGATATCTCCTACACGTCGCCGTTATTCCACACATGTGTCATCCTTTCATACAAAGAATCTCCACATAACGTGTATAAGTAACCGTACCTATAAGATTACATAAAACTCCAACTGCCGTAACGGATTACTTACAAACTATGGAATCTGTCGGGTCTAATGACTCCGATCAAATATCTCCGTACGTCAGTAACCGAGACCAACGCCATGTCTTGCCTCATCAGCAGGTGGAAGATCGCATAGTTCGAGCTCTCCGTCACAGACTCCGTCTACTCAGCCGTCCAAACGACGCTACTTTCCACGTCCTCGGTGCCACGTGTAACGTCTACACGGTGGAATTAACGGCCACACCGACTTGTACTTGTCCCGACCGTAAGAAGCCGTGCAAACACATCTTGTTTGTCTTAATTCGAGTTCTTGGCATTCCCCTCGACGACAAGTGTCTCCGGCAACGGAGACTCAGGCCGTGTCTTCTTTACCGTCTCGTCTCCGCTCCCACACGACCTGAATGTCTCGCTAGTTTTCATCTCCAGCAACGGTTTCTTCAGCTTTTATCCACCGTCAATTCTCATTATGGTGGTGACACTGGCTCCTCCTCCACCCGTGAACCGGACCAACCGGTACTCTCTTTTTCTTCTTATTCTTCATTTTTTTTTGTTTTGTGAAAATGAAAGATCAAAAATTCACGAATAACGTGACAAACGGGGAATATTATTGGAATTAGGGATACGATGTATTTTATTTTTGTTCACATGAAATTTCACTAGCTTAAGGGCACGATTAACCCCAGTTTTTTGCTGAGGTTTTAACTCATAATTTGACACATTTTTATTTTTTTTTATATTTTTTCCGTTAAGAGACGATTCCTAGACCATGATTAACCTGGTTCTTATCGTAAGTTAAAGAACTATTTCTTAACTTTTAACTAAAAAACCTAAGAACCGGTTCTTAAAATACTTATATAAGACCATCTCTAATGGGGGTTCTATCCCATTGGAGATGGTGTAAGAACCAGTCGTTAGTTTTTCTAAGTTAAAAATGAATCGTCTCTTGTTCGAATCTAAGAACCTCAGCTAAGAAATTGGGGTTAATCATGGTCTAATGAATTGTTAGCCCAAGTTCAGTACAAGGCCCCTAAGGGCTACGATGTATAATGGTTATATTGTTTCTTGAAAACTTATCATCGAATATTTTGTATAATTGAGATTAATATACCACTTTTATATAGGAAAAAGAGATGGAAGAGGAAGCAGCTACATGTCCAATATGTCTAGACGATATTAGTGTTATTAAAAGCGTAAACGGTGAATATGTTGGAGGAGAGGAGATAGAGAGAGCTGTGGTGAAGTGCAGGGTTTGCAAGAACAAAGTGCATGAAGATTGCATGCTGAAGTGGAGGGCGAGTAGGGGACGGAGACCGGCGATCTGCGTTGTTTGCCGTTCACGGTGGCGGCGAGTCAGTGGGTCTAGCAGGACTTCTAATGTCGGTGGTAATAACGAGATCGCCCACGGTAATTGTTACTTAAATCTTGCTCCCTATGTTAATGAGGAGGAGGAGGGTGGGGTTGGCACAAGTCAACGGTCATGTTGAGAAAATTAAAAGATTCATTGTTATGTCATGTATTTTAATGTCATTTAAACAAGATACTCTTATCAAAAACAAAAATTGTGTATATAGAAATTGATTTGATTTAAGTATCGCGTTGGTTTAGTGATTAGCCGTGTTATTCCGGTTTGATTGTGTTGTAGAAGTATCCAATATTCCGTGATATCCTTCATTAATTTTGCTCTTAGTAAATCACAAGTTTGCACACTAAAAAAGAAGTAAACCACAAGTAACATATTTTTTATGTTTAGAACAATAATCAAAACGATTTTTTTAATGTTTGGACTTCGGATCACGTGAAATTTAAAACTTCCGATGCTTGGATAACGTTCAAGAGGAGAATGCGGGACGCAAAAGCTGACACCGAAAGCCATGCATATATTATGTCTTCAGTTTTATATAATACGGTCATTATTATATTTCTTGGTTTGTGTAAGTTACGATGTCCATGAAATATAGTAAGACAGGTGTATTTTTAAAATATTAGAGAAGTCTTTATCATATCTTGTTGGCGTATCAATTCGAAACAGTGTTTTCTCTAAAATACTTAATTACTCAAGACTCTTGATTGAACAAAATTAAAAGCCATCGATTGCCTTGTCTTGTCTCTTTGCTTCTTAATTATTTTGTCTGGTTATTTTGATCATAATCACTCCAAGAAACCTCAAAGAAACGCTAAAGATCTGACAAACGCTTCAGGCTCTTATCTTTATCTCCATGTAAGTTGTCAAGCTCTGTTTTTGAATCAGTTATCTTCTAGAGTTCACGTATCACTTATGGTTGCTGTCTCTAGCTTTTGAATTTGATGGGCTGGTTGAACAAAACAGATCGTCTTTTCAGGACAAAGATGCCCGTTTAGCTATATAGAATTCTAAGCTAGTCTACTTTCCAGGTTGTGATGGATCAAACTCGGTGTTTTCGGTTTCTAGGCCAAGCAGAAGCATGTAGAGTTCTTCTTGTCATGACTCTGGTTGTAGCCTTCGTTTTAGGTCTTCAGTATTTCGAGCTCACTCCAATATCTATTGGCTCCCTTGGAAACGGCACCGTTCCTGGATCCATAGCATCCAACGATATCACTATAAGTGATGAAAACGAAATGTTTCTTGCACCTCAAGAAGCAACCTCTGAGTTTAGTCCGCGTAATAGCACTACGGAGGTTTTGAAGAATTATGAGCACAAGTTTCTGAATAATTCTCCTAAAGCTTATGGACAAAGTAGAGGCAATGAAACCACAAGCTTTCATCATCCTCTTCAACCCAAGATACCTCAAAGCAAGAAGAAACATGAGAGGAGCACCAAAAAACCACCTTTAGTTGTCATATCAATAACCCAAATGAACAATATGCTATTGAAGCGGCATAGTGATCCTAATAATTCACTTGTATGCAAGGGACTTAACCATAATTAAGTTCCAATTCTTTGTGACCATGTCACTCATCATCTCTTTGATTTACTTTTTGTTTGTTCATGTTCATAGGCACCTCGTTGGGGATCAAATGTGGACAAAGAGCTTAGAGATGCAAGAAACAAGATCAAGAACACGGTTTTGGCTAAGAAGGATGAAGATACTCTTTACGCACCTCTCTACCACAACCTATCCATCTTCAAAAGGTTTAACATATTAACCAATCTAAACAATACATATATTTTATATAAGAGTCGTTATACATTATTAAATTAAATTTATTTTTCAAATGTTTACCACAACCTTACTATTAACGTTTGAAACAATCGAATCCTTCCTTAATGGGTATAATATCTAGTGCAGGAGCTACGAGCTAATGGAACAGACTTTGAAAGTGTATATCTACTCAGATGGTGACAGACCAATCTTTCATCAGCCTGAGGCAATAATGGAAGGGGTTTACGCATCAGAAGGATGGTTTATGAAACTAATGGAGAGTAGTCACAGATTCTTGACAAAAGATCCCACCAAAGCTCATCTGTTCTACTTGGCTTTCAGTTCAAGAATTCTTCAACAGAAACTCTACGTTCGTGATTCTCATAGTCGTAGAAATCTTGTTAAATATCTCAGAGACTACATCGATCTCATCATTTCCAGCTACCCTTTCTGGAATAGAACCCGTGGCTCTGATCATTTCTTCACTGCTTGCCATGATTGGGTAAGTGATTTAATCTTAAAACAGTCAATTTAGACCATTTCCAATATATTTTGTTGGAATTTACTCCGGTATATATTTCGATAATACTCCCTCCGTTTCAATTTTGTTGTCGTTGTAGAGTAAAATTTTTATTTCAAAATAAGTGTCGTTTTATAATTTTAATACAAAATTTATTAATTTTATCTATTATACTATTTTCTATTGATTGAAATGTGGTTAGTTTTATAGGTAATTGTGTTTTTTTCTAGAAAATATGTAAAATTAAAAAAAAAATAATTTGTGTGTCAAGATCCAAAATAACAAATATATTGAAACGGAGGGATTAGTATTCTCCTGACTATAAAATAAAATACAGAAATGTTATTTCTTCTTTTTTTTTTGTCAATGAAATGTTATTTGTCAATGATATGTTATTTCTTCATCAAAAATAGAAAAATAATAATTTTGGTTTTATATGAAAAAAATAAAAGTGGGTTGAAAAATAACTATCTTTCAATACTATTTTTTTTTTTTGACAACATCTTTCAATACTATTATAAAAAAAATATATATGTATATATATATATGAAGATGTTCTTAACTGATACTATGTCATTAATTCATTATGGTTTGGTTTTATTAACGGTACGTTCATATATGTTATAGGCTCCAGCTGAGACTAGAGGACCATACATGAACTGCATTAGATCACTCTGTAACGCCGATGTCGGAGTAGACTTCGTGGTCGGAAAAGACGTCTCTTTGCCCGAAACAAAAATCTCTTCGGCACAAAACCCAAACGGGAATATTGGAGGTAACCGCCCATCCAAGCGAACCATCCTCGCTTTCTTCGCAGGTAACTTGCATGGTTATGTTAGACCCATCTTGCTTAACCATTGGTCTTCAAGGCCTGAACCGGATATGAAGATCTTCAACCGGATCGACCATAAATCCTACATCCGGTTCATGAAACGCAGCAGATTCTGCGTTTGCGCTAAAGGGTACGAGGTAAATAGCCCAAGAGTGGTGGAGTCGGTTTTGTACGGTTGCGTTCCGGTTATCATCTCTGATAACTTTGTACCGCCGTTTCTTGAGGTTTTGGATTGGGAATCTTTTGCTGTGTTTGTGCCAGAGAAGGAGATTCCTAATCTGAGGAAGATTCTGATATCGATTCCTGTGAGGAGATACGTTGAGATGCATAAAAGGGTGTTGAAAGTTCAAAAGCATTTCATGTGGCATGATGGTGAACCGGTTCGGTATGATATGTTTCATATGATTCTTCATTCTGTTTGGTATAACCGGGTTTTTCAAACGTTTTAGCCAAGTGAGATATAATCAGATTTGGCAAGTCTTATGGGTTGAGTTGTTATACCATTCTACACGTTTTATCTTAAATAACTAGTTAAAGTTTTTAATATAATGATTGTACAGTAGTTTGTATCAGGTTGCCATAAAGTTAATTAATAAAAGTTTTAAATGGGCAGAACAAAAAATTGTAAATCAACCTTAAATTCTCTTACCTTAATATCTATACATAATGGTTTAATTTTTAACCTAAAACTAAGAAACCATTGAATTTAATCTCAAGTTAAAATTATCTCCCTGTTCTATTTCCCGATCAAATAAGAGCATACAGCCATACACAATGAAATTTCAAGACATGCAAATTTAGTATGTTGAACATTTTCTTTTAAGCAGCTTAACATATCTTCATTATTTTTCTCTTACACGACCTAAAATAAATGCCATTTTGGAACCTTTTTGGCTTACAAACTTCTCGTTTGGAAGTTACTGATCAAAGACACTGTGTGGTTATATCATGAGCCATGCAATCAGCAATTGCATGTGACAAACAAGCAGCAGGACTGAAGCTGTGATAGGCAGACACTCAATAGTCAATGTCGTCTTTCGCTTTTCTTGAATATCTTCGTTATATTAATTTTAATACAATATTAATCAGAATATGTTTTGTTTGCCGAAAATTGGGAGTAAAAGAAAAACTATAAAAGATGTAATTAAATGGGGATGGTGATTTTTGACTAGTGATGTCTGGTGTACTATTGAGTCAGAATCATGTTTTCTTTTGTATGTTTTGTCTGTCTCTTACACCATGTTATGGTTTCAAACTTTTCATCATTTTATACTTGTATATACGTACATATATGTGTGTGTGATGAATTTAAAATGAATGAGTATGTTTGGGGACAGAAAGAAAATATAAAGGTAAGTGAAAAATGATCTAATACATCTAAAGTCCAATCTTAATAAATGTTTTGTTTGTCAACTCTTAATTAATAAATGATTTATAGGGGTTATATAAATGAATTCCCTAGACTGGTCACAATGATCTATCAACAGTCCTGAGATAAATAGCGTCAATCAATCGATGGTACATACATTGTCGATCCCAATATGACTGTTTTTATAAATAAATGAAAATTTAAATGAAGAACCATTAAGCACTTAGCCTTTCGTAGAGCCTACCTCGAGCAACTGCAGTTATGATCTTGTTTATCAATCCTTTACCGCGTTTGCTAGTACGCGTACTTGACACCTGGTTGTGTACTGGCTAGTGGCTAGAGTTCTTGTTCCTTTATCATCTACATGTACACAGACGTGTCGGTTTTCTAAGACTGCAATCTTTTTAAGAATATCATCCATTTTTCATAAACCGGAAAATTTCACAAAAATGTATCCTAATTTTCTTGTTTCTCGAAACCAAAATTTTCTCCAGAAAACATGATGAAAAAATTTCTTTCCCTTGCTGCTGTGTATTAATTTAAATTTACATTATAATATGGAGTAATGGAGTTGACAACAGAACTACTACAAAGAACTAGAACTATATCGTTTTTGTTTCAGCATAAACTGGATAGCTAGGATCGTTGAGTATTCTGAAGTAGATTAACACATTGTTAATTTACGCTTGTCAAAACTACTTTTCAGTATTCTTCATGTTAACCCCCATAGAAGGATTTTATTCGGCCAAGAGACAACCATTTGCGTTAATCATTGACCATATACTATAAGGAAAAAAGCATGTTAAGACTAAAAGTCCTACCCCTCGAGTTGTCCTTTTTTCTATCGTCTGCCATGTCTCTCTGATGAATATACACAGGATAGTGATATATATGACCATATATGTAGGAGAAGACACAAAGCAAATATCTAGGTATTCGGAGATATTCGTGATCCAATATATTTCGTTCGAATAATCAATTATCTGATTCGATTCGATCAGTAGCCCTTCGGATATTCACCATCTCGGATATCCGGAAAATTTTAGAATTTTACTGGATATCCGATTTGATCCGTAAAAATAAAATAAAACTTTTAAAAATAAATAAATATCCAAAATAATAGAAAATAATAATATTTTATTACAAAAATAATTAATTTTAAAAATTCTAATAACCAATATAATAAATTTAATAAATAAAAATCTTGTAAAACAGAAATAAAATATAATATTTATATAACTTCTATATATACTTCTTTAAGTATATGTATATAACTGATCGGATCGGATATTCGTTCCTAAAGATATTAGTATTTGTTATTTACTTCATCTCCTAAGGATATCACATTTTAGTATTTGCTTTGCTTTGTATAATTACGGATATCGAGATTTTTCGGTTCGAATCAAAATGGATAACGAATCGAATTAAAATCCATATTTTGCCCAGCCTTAAGAGGAGTAAGGAATAAAAACTACCCACCATACGATATGATCAACTGCAATTTAATTATAGTGCATGCTTATTCGGAGAATATATGTGATTACATCAGGATCCAAAATTAAATTCGGAGAATATATGGAGAGCATATGATAATAATTAAATCTACTTTGTCACATATTTTGTTTCCACATGTTTGGTTTGATTTCTTTTCTAAAATGAAATAAGGTTCCATTGCAAACCTATAGGAATATATAAAAAATCATCAACATTTTGATGAGTTCACAAAATTTATCATTATTACCTGAGAAATTATTACTGCTGTCGTAATTGAACTTTGACCCTATACTTGTTTTAACGATCTTTAATCCCACTATGAGTACACAAATTACGAAAACTGAGTTTCCTGTATCAAAAGAAGAAGAAGAAGAAGAAGAAAAGGCATTTTCCAAAAGGCTTATTTTGTACCTTTTTATGTAAAAAACGACTTTGAATTTACTCTCGGAATGCCTACTAAACCATATTAGGAAGATATTGATATTTGGGTTGTCTCCTAAATAAACACTCATGAAATTGACCAAAAATAAATAACACTCACAAAAATCATTTTCTTCTTTCTATTTCAAAGTAATCATTTTCTGCTTTCTATTTCAAAGTGGGCCTTCTTCATTTATCGAGAGACCTCCATTAATAACTAAATAAGAATTTCTAAACGAGAAGCTTGATTGATCTTGGGAAGGGGGATTAGGAAGCAAATAGCCTAGGCATGTTAAAAGATTTCCCACATAACAATAAAATGATTATATAAGAGTTAATTAATATTATTATGTCAGTATGTGTATATATTGTGTGTCAGTCTTTATAGGTACGCAAATAAGGTCCCATGATTGAACAAATTGATGTCCCTCGGAATTTTTCTTGAAGTTTCTATCTACAGTTTCTTTTCTTCATTTGTATTATTACACCAAAATGTACTTATTTGTCTACTTGTCTGGAACCATCTTTAACCTGATATGAATTGGTTGATAGTTTTATCATTTGATAATGAGCTTGCCCATAGATTTTCTAATGCCTGGGACAAAAGGTGTCTTAGTTATCATTTTAATTACTAGCGTTAACAATCCTATATAATTAGAATACCTTATTCAAATGTTTCAGAATTGGGTATTCTTACATATTATCTCAACTGAAATCAGTATTGTAGATCATAACATCCACACTAAATATTTTGTAGTGATCAAAAGTTTAATCAGGGGAAGACAAATGAGTAACGATGTTTTTAAACACAACGATACAATCGGAATTCGGTTGACAATATTGAATATGGGATTTGATACAAAGTAGTAAACAAGATCGAGAATAACAATGAAAAGTAGAAGTTATAAGCGAACTAAAAGTCTATGGAATGAGGTTGATATGATTGGTGATATGCTCTAGAGTTTTTTTGTGTGTCTTGTATTCTTCTTTAGCTTTCCTTTTATAACTTTCTCATATTCTAATTGCTTCCGTGGTCTTTGGGATGCCATTTCCACTTTGTTGCGTCTGATCGACGCCGAATTCATGATGACCTTGCATGGACTTGAAACTCCTTTAATTATTTGTTGAAACTGGGTCTAACAAAGACCATAAAACTCTTTGATATGAAAATTTCATTATTAATTTAAAATAATAAATAGATTGATTTATGGTCCTTATAAATTACATTTAAAAATCTCATTTCCGTAAAACTTTTTAACTACATGTCCATAGAAAACCATAATCATGTATGATTAGCTTCACATGGAGATATCATGATGATATGCAAACATATGTATGTAAATGCATTATAGATATGCTTGTCATGAAAAACACCATGATCGATTGAGTCAGAGATCTGAGTAAAAGATATTACAACAGTAAAACTTGGGTGAAAATTTCATTATCACACAAATAAAAGATAAAATAAAATATAGTGAAAAAGCTTGTCTCACCGTGTGTTTTTCGCAAAAACAAACTTCATAATTTTTCTCTTTACAAACAAAAGAAAACAAACTTCATAATTTTTACGTACGTGGCTGGGACGAAGTAGTTGGTCTTTCTTTTCATTTTTAAAACAGTAATTGGTCTATAGTCTATACACTTCAGTATCATAGTGAAAAAGCTGGTCTCACCGTGTGTTTTTCGCAGAAACAAAAACTTCATAATGTTTCTGTCTACAAACAAAAAATAACAAACTTCATAAATTTTACGTACGCGGCTGGGACGAAGTAGTTGGTCTATACACTTCAATATTGTCATTCTAAATGTGGTAGTCTCGTAATATATTTTTATAACAAATACTCTTCTTTTTTTTTTGGAAAATCCGGAAGATATCAAAGCAGATAGTGACCATCAAGTGTGTTGTTTTATACTAATAAATATATTTATATAAAATAAAGCAATTGGGTCCATTTCCTTTATTCAATTGAGACTTGTTGCGTTGTTTTGGTCCCACTCTCTCCCTCTCTTCTAACTTCTTACCCAAAATATTAATGCATATATAATGAGTGACTGAGAAAAATGATAGGCAACACATTTTACCAACCTTTCTTCTTCTCATATCAAAGTTTCTCTCTCATTTCTTCATCACTGCCCTGTTTTCTTTCCTCATTTTGAATAGTTCTCAAACTTTATTTCCCCCTGAAGATCTTTACATAAATCACAAAACATTTACATAACAAGAAACTGTCAAATTTATTATACTATTGGTGTAAACAATGGTTGCATCAGCATCACAGAGTAAGTCAGTGGAGGAATATTACAGCCGCCAAGCGGAGAAAATGACACAACTACCCAACTCAGCTTCTGACTTAGTGGTTGACTCAAGCAAGGCAGAGCAAAACGAGAACTCAAAGAAGACAAAACGTGTTAAAGACTCCGGTAAGCACCCGGTTTATCGCGGTGTAAGGATGAGGAACTGGGGCAAATGGGTGTCGGAGATTCGTGAGCCGAGGAAGAAGTCACGTATATGGCTCGGAACTTTCCCCACGCCTGAAATGGCGGCGCGTGCACACGACGTTGCAGCTTTGAGCATTAAAGGGACCTCAGCTATACTAAACTTCCCTGAGCTAGCTGACTCGTTTCCTAGACCTGTCTCGCTAAACCCTCGAGACATTCAGACAGCAGCTCTAAAAGCAGCTCACATGGAGCCAACAACAACGTCGTGTACGTCTTCTTCATTGTCTTCTACTTCTTCACTTGAGTCTCTAGTGATGGTGATGGACCTCTCGAATACTGAGTCGGAGGAGCTCGATGAGATCGTGGAGCTGCCAAGTCTCGACGTCCACTCGGCTAGCTTTGGGAACGAGTTCGTGTTCTCTGACTCAGTGGACTATTGTTTGTATCCTCCACCGTGGGGGCAGTGGTCGGAAGATAGTTACGGAATTAGCCCTAGTTTCAACAACGACTTGTCATGGGATCTCTAAAGACGTTTTTAATCAGTTGATTTTTGTTATCATCATTATAAGTAATGTAGTGTTTAATTATTTAATACCGTGTTTATGAACCCTTGTTGTGTTATAGCTAAGAAAGGGTTTGTTTTACTTTGGTGCGTGTGTGAGCTCCATAATGAATTCGTGTATAAAACTCAGTTTGTGTTTTTTTTTTTAAAATATAGAAATTTCGGTTTGGTTTGTCGGAAAAGAAGAGGAAAACAAGTGATTTTTTTTCGTTAAGTAACGTCAAGTAAATAAAAAGTCCACTAACTTTATGATAGTGCAATAATCAATACAAATCATTGAAAGTTCAAAACTGTGTCGTGTGTTGACAACAACAACAAAAAAAAAACTGTGGCGTGTTTTTCTTACGGATAAAACGACAAAAAATTGTTAATACTAAGTAAATTGGAGTCTCACTATCATTAAGGCTTCGAATGGTAAAAGCAGATCAAGCGGTGCAGATCAAGCGGTTTATGCAGATCAAGCAGGACAAATGCAGATCAAGCGGGACAAGTGCAGATCAAGCGGATCATGCAGGAGAAATGTAGATCAAACGATTTATTATATATTATGAATGCCAAAATCAGTTCAAAACTATAAATCATATATTTAAAAAATAAAAAGTTATACTAAAATATCAAAATAAATATCTTATATGTTGTAAGATCAGCCGAAATGTTAATTGAATTTTTCATAAAATGCTTGTACTTTTTTTTATTTATGTTTTAGTTGAACAAAATTATCTTTGAATAACTAGCATGTTACTAATATTAAACTATTTGTTGATATTTATATAGAAAGATTTGTATCTTTTTTGTTGAAAAATATTGTACGACTTAATAAAATACTCGTTTTATGTAGGAAAATTATATATTTTTCTTTGGAAAATGTTGAATGTCATATTTATAATTTTAAAATGACAAAATAATATTGGTGTGAAGTATATAGTTTGAGTTAATCTTTGTACATTATTTTTAAAATCAGATAAATATATTTAAAGTTAGTGTTTATAGTAAAATCATTTATTAGTGAAAAAGGCAGATCAACATCTACAAATGTTAGCGGGTGAGATCTGTGAGATCTGCATGCAGATCTCCTGTTTTTTTCACAAAAAGACAGACAAATATTGAACTGCATGCAGATCTCCCGCTTGAACTGCTTTTAGAAACAGAAAATGATGAATGGTAAAAGCAGTGCAGGAGAACTGCATGAGTGGGAGATCTGCACTTGTTCTGCCTTTCCATTCATAACCTAACTTTTGCTTGGTCGGAATCAACGGAGTGGAGAATGTGAGCTAGGGTAAAACAAGAAAAATACAGTGTGAGAGAGCAACTTGTCCACGCTGACGCAAACATTACCACGTTTATGAATTTAAGAAACTAAATATATTTAGAGTTTATATTTTAAAGTTTAGACTTTGATATTTAAATTGTCCTCAGAATTTTTGGGTTAGGGTTTATATTTTGCTCTAAAACAAGTGAAGTTCTATTTTATTTTGGAAGCTTCTGTCAAAACAAAATCAAAATGAGAATGGTTTCTATTAAGAAAAAGTACGAATGCTGTTGGAGCAGTTTACAAACCAAAAATGACTGTTCACTCCAAAAGTTAATTATTTAGGCTTAATTAATCTAAGATAGAATGACTCATGATCCTAATATGAGGAAGATAGCGAATGTGACATGTCTAATCCTGTCGCATGTATGTCTTTTCAGTTTCCAGGATCTTATTTATAAGAACATTAAAACTTTACAATCCCTTCAATCAAATTCACAATCTCCTCCAGTAAAAGAGCTGTGATGATTTTTAAACTATTTCGTTCAACATTGTAAAACCCATGAATTAACAAAAAGTGGAGTACCGTGATCTATCATTAACGTTCTTTTCTAACGTAAGTGACATCTGAAGGTTGAATACATGCTTGACAAGACTGTAACAACTTCCCATTACAAGATACTAAAGCAAATCGATCAACGTTTTCTAGTGTATAAAACTTCACCAATAAAATATCAAACTAAGTCAAGACCACATCCTAGTTTGACTTAGAACTACCGCTAAATAAGTTAGCAGTTAAGCAAACATTGCATAAATTGTTGGGTTGAACGTCATAGTATTTCAAAAATAAATCAACGATTTGTCAGCTTTACAGTTTTCAAGTACTCCAGTCACCTCCTCTTCACCTCTCTTTACAAATTATAATTAAATCTCCCATGTTTCAAAAATAAATAAGTCACTATCTTCTAAACCCATAGCTTAAATCTCCGACATAAATATTCTACACGTTTTACAAATAATAATTAAATCTCAGAATTCAAATGTAAAAGCTGGTCATTGGAGTAATTGTCAAAAGACGTTCCTCCGACAGACAGTTTTACCGACTGTCTGAATGCATATTGAATGCGAATAATAGTACTGTATAAATATTTTTGTCACCTAAACTACAAAAGTACAAAGACTAACGGTTAAAAATGAACTCAACGAACTGGAATTTGGTATTTGAGTATTGGTAAGTTTAATTAGGTAATGTAATTGTGGTTTAGCTGCGATAATGTGCTATTGGTTTGTTATAATTAGTTCTGGTGTCAGTGTTCTTACTTCTGGTTTATCATTTGATGCGATTTTGGTTTGGGTTAATTTGATCGGTTTCATTTCATTTTAGATCCACATAGCCTACCTGTTCCCCCACTAACTATATTGTATATGTTTATTCATTAGCTTTTGTTAACCGACATCAATTCACGTAATCTAGAGTGGATCCGACATAACTTTCTTGTATATATCTTTTGTGAGGTGTTGAATTTCTTAATTTAGTTTTATCTGCCTAATGATGGTACTATTGCATAACTCCAAAAACGGAAAAGGAATTATTGACTCCTTTGTAACCTTTTTATATTTCCACCAAAATCGTCAAAGAAAGCTTTACGAAATGCTTTAAATTGACATATAGATTTAAAAAAGGGTGTCTGAACCACTTGATATTCTCCACTAATTTGCTTTGTTCTAAATATCTAAGGATCAAATTAGTCGGCAGGTTAATCACATTCAGTCTATTAATTTTTATTAACTATGATTATGAGTATGATTGGTTGGACTAGTTGAAATGTAACAAAGAAAATTTTATGTCGAATTTTGTCTAGAATTTTTTTAATATATTTATACCTGAGGTATCTTTAAGATTTAAATAAATTTAAAAATTAAAAAAACTTACCCCTTTCTTTTAGGTTTTGGACTATAGCTTTAAAAACTAGTATAAATCAAGATTGATAATTTTAAATTCTATAGATTAATTAACTTTAAGACAATTTGTACATGCCAACTAATCACCCTAACTTGCATAGATTATCAGAACACATATCAAACACCTGTTTTAACGGCTGCAGATAAGTTGGTATCAATCCAATTTATGAACTTGTAGATTATAACCGCATACGGCAATGCAGCTTGGATTTACATATATATATATATATATATGAAAACTAAACAAAAGTGCTTTTATAAGAATCTTGTCATAATAACGCAACTAATAAGTTATCGTTTGAAACAAACACAACGTATATCCTTTTGAACGTCACAACCTACCTAAAATTTAAAAACATAGAAACATGCATTAATTAGAAATCATTTCTACCTCATGAATAGCCTCCTATGTGAAGTCTACGTATCTTTTTTCCATTGTCCTTTTTTTTTTAAAGGATATTTTTTTCCAATATCTTTCGGTATTATAATTCACATAATATTACGAACAGATATAAATATATATTGTATCTTGAAACATTTAAAAAATATTGCATATATGATATATGTATAAATACACTAAAAAGAAGAGGATACTGAAACAACAAAGACAATGATTAATTGCACTCTAATACGTCCGTATTAAAGCATTGATTTCCTTCAAAAGACATATTCTTAGTGGAAAGCATTTTCTCTGCCGGTTGCCATTTCAAGGATGCTTTAAATTATTGTTTTGTACAAAATCTTGGGTTAGTGCTACTTGATTTAGTAACGTTAAGTACTATTATATGCAAAACCTAATGTCGAAAAAAGTGCTACACAATAGAGTAGTATCCAACGACTGATGTCTAACCGGTCATAAATATAGAATATAATAGTTGGTAGACGATCATAGATTAGTGTTAGGAATGTCAAAAAGGAAAAAAGAAAGATTAGTGTTAGGATTTAGGAATATATGTACTTATTTTCTATTTTGATATATATGTATATATATAGCACAAAAATTATTCGTCTGTATCAAATCTATTAAACGTCATATAGATATGCTTCCGTGTCCTTTTTCTAAAAAATGCTGTGTTACATTTGAACGTGTGCGTATTCACGGCAGTACGTGGTTCAAAAGCTGAAGGGAAGTCTGTCTCAGACTTCCATGAGCGTTTTTCATATTTTATTTAATTAATATATCATTCTAATAATTCGAAAGCTACATAATTAGGACTATATGTCATTACTCATTATGTAAAGAATGGATAAACATAATACTTCAGAGTCTATGTATACTGACATTTAAATACTAATCATGTTTAAATTATTTAATTAAAAGCTTCAAACTTGTGTATACAATATTACAAGTAATTAGAGACGAAGTCTCGATGATACGAACAAAATATATAAAGGCGTATATTATTCTTCTTTGAAAGTCGAAATCCTACTTATGTATTTATGTTTTCCTTTTACACAATAATTAGGTAATAACAGGAACGAGATTAGTAATTTATAGATAAAAAGATATTATGTATATATTTATGTCTGTCTAATCTAGATATCAGTTCGGTTTTATGTTAGTTTTTTTTGCTTTTAATCTATTAAAATATAATTACTATTTTCAGTCAATATTTATTATCTTTATTCGGTTAAAATGTTTGAGGTTTTTAGTTTTTTCAATGATAATCAAAAACTATTATTTTTTGTTTGGCTTCATATTATATAAATTTAATACAGTTTTGATGTCAACCCAAGGGTTTCATATTATAATTTTTAAAGACATGAAAATCAAATCAAATTTAGATAATAATTGAAGACAAAAAAAAAATTAACACAAATCTTTTCTTTATAATTTGGTCAATGGTGAATGTAAACGTTAAAAAGAATATTTCAGCTTCCAACAGAATTAGAATTAGAATTAGAATTAGAATTAGAATTCTCAGTTGTAGTGAATTTAGGTATATAAATGCTCACGTTAATGTGCACATGTATGTAA